TGATTAGGGCACACTAATAGGAAATCTTGGTATATGATTGAGATTGGATTACTTTAGGACTGAGAATTGATCCTAAAGTGTCGTTTTGTATCAGTGCTCGCTGTGGATTCAGACTGAAGGGGCTTGAGGAAGCGGAAGCCGGAAAAGGGCAACGTTAGTCCCAGGTTTGATTGTGCGAGGTAGGATTTCTATCCCTTTTCCTTGTGAGCCTGTTTTCAAAAAAAAGATTTTGGCCTTGAAAATTTTTTTAAAGAAAGGGATTGATTTGTGAAAGAAAATGCTTTGAAAACCATGGCTTGTTTAGTCATGGAACCTCATGGTTTGTCCAGTCATGGGGCCCGCGGCTTGAGTAGTTCGTGGGGTCGTATTAACGATTTCAAAATGTTTAATAAATGATTTCTTAAGCAAAGAGATCTTGTGAACTGGTAATAGAGTCTATTGCTGTAAGCCTAGATAGGATGCGGAGAGTGCATCCTCGGGGGCAGAACCCGAAACCGGTCCGGGTAGGCGAGGCACTTGGTTAGGTAAGTAATTTGTACTAATTACTTGCTGAAGCCTGTAACATGGTTATTTCCAGTCATATTTCCTTTGAGAAAAAGGATGTGAGGTTCCGGCTGTTCTGTCGGGACTGAATGTCTTATTTTATTTATGTATTCAATTATTTATTCATGCGCTCATTTATTTTAAATATTTTAAATTATATCCTATTGGGCCTTTCGCTCACGTTTTATGTTTCAAATGTTTAAAACCCCTCCCAGGAGACTCTAGGAGCGGGGCACAGTAGCGGGAGTAGCTGAGTGGTGCTACGGAACGATCAAGTGAGGATTGTGTTCATCCTCTGACATAAAGTGTAAGGAATATGTAAGAATTTGTAATAAATGACATTTGAATTTACTAGACTGTGGATGATGTCTATTGTAATTGATTATTTACATGTGCATGTATGTACGATACTGTATGTCCTGTGGGGTGGAGCCCTGTGTGTCAGAGGCTCCTGGATTATGTCGTTTATTTATATTTTTATGCAGTTAAGTGTGGGACCCGGTTGGGAATCTGCTTTATTAATCCCAAATCGAGTTTCACGTCACCCACCCCGTTTGGGGGGCGTGACAGGTTGTCACATGACTGATTGGATTTGTACTAGTCGGACATGTCTGGTCCCACACTATATCTTGCTCCATAGTTATCTAAACGCGTACGCTCTTTTGTATTCCTTGATGTTATGTAGTTTTGATATTTATGTTTTAGAAATTTTACATAGCTATAATAATATTTAAATAGTAACCATTGAGGTTTCATTTGTTCTGACCAATATACCTCTAATTTGTAGCAAGGGAATACGTAGAAACTTTTTATTGCCTTAATTATTGACCAAGAACCATTATATTTCTAAGCACTAAGTTACCCGAAAGTTGTTCTCTATTCTTGTAACAAAGTTCAGAAAAACAAAAATAGCAACCCTTAATTTGCCCACAGCAATTGACCACAGTATTGGTTTGAATAACAGGGAAGGTCCCTGAGAATAATTTTCTAAAAGAAAATATTGTTTAATCAATCAAATATTGTTACATGGTCCAACATTAATATTGTTGGACATGGAAAAAAAATTGAGAGAAGAAAAAAATTTCCATTTATATTAGTTTAGTTGATTTTATTTAAAGGTTAACAAACTGTGCTAGAAAGGTACCTACAGAAGCTCCTCCAAAGTTCACAAACTCCATTTTTTTTCTCTCGAAACTCTGTAGCTTTTGCCATGATTTGATTATATGGTGGTAAAGCCAAGGAATGTTTTTTTTTTCTTTGAAATGGTAAAGCCATCGAATAAAAAAATGTGTAATCTAGCTTAAAAAATCACATGACTAATTCTAACATGAAGATTATTTAGTTATATATATGGTTAGAGATTGATCCTCTGCTTCTGATACACAGCTTTAGGGATGACTCAGGATACCGTTGTGGCGCTTCTATCTCCATAAAATAGGCAGGTCTATTGGGATAAGGCAATACATGGCTATCACTGTTTAGCATCACAACCACCGATGACATGCTTGGCCTATCCGCAGCACGATGTTGCACACATAACAGTCCGACATGGATGCAGCGCAACACTTCCTGCAAATCCTGCAAATCGTGGTGCGAGTCCCTTAAATGCGCATCAAGCAGTTCCATTGTCCTGCCTTGTTGCATCAATGTCCATGCCTAGAATATTCAAAATGACTGTCTTATGGATAATATATATTTGTATTTTGGAGTTCAATACATCCAATTGAGAGATGAATTTTTTTTTTTGGTAACTTACATGTCCGGTGAGGGTAAGGTTGTCATTTTGAGGAGAAAAGCTTGTACTTCTCTTTCCGCTTACAATCTCTAAGACCATGGTACCAAAGCTAAAGACATCAGATTTTACGGAGAATTGTCCATTGTAAACATACTCTGGTGACATATAACCACTGCATCGTAAAATCACAATCCTCAAAACTTTTAATTCATTTAATATGTACAAACTAGGAAGAACTTGTGGGAAGAGTAATACTTACTAGGTTCCCACTACTCTCTTTGTGTTTCCTTCTATTAGGTCTCCACCAAGAGTTCTAGCCAAACCAAAGTCTGAAATTTTGGGGTTCATCTCATTATCAAGTAAGACATTACTTGTTTTGAGATCTCTATGTATAATTCTCAATCTTGAATCATGGTGTAAATATAGAAGTCCGCGTGCAATTCCACATATGATTTGGAACCGCTTACACCATCCTAATAGCTTAGCTGAATTTTGATCTGGCAATCCAAAATAAAACATTTTCAAGATTGTCAGTTAATACAATATATACAACCACAAAATAATTAAGATTGTCAATTACAATTACGTATGTTTATATGCGTTTATTACAACATCAGTGAAAGAGTCTAACCGAAAATGAAAGAGTCGAGGCTTTTGTTAGGCATATATTCATAAACTAGTAATTTCTCTTCTCCCTGAATGCAACAACCAAGAAGCTTTACGAGATTCCGGTGTTGAAGCTTCGCAATTAACGTTACTTCATTTTTGAACTCATCGATTCCTTGTCCCGAACTGATTGAAAGTCTCTTCACTGCAATCTCTTGTCCATCTTCTAACCTACCCTGAAATGTCATGTTAATGAAATATGTTAAAGAGTATTTTCGTTGTAAATTCAAACACGTTCTGCATCCATATATCCATATGATTGTCAAATTGAGGTTATCAAAAGCTTACTCTGTACACAGGTCCAAAACCACCATGTCCAAGCTTATTCCTCGTCGAAAAGTTGTCGGTTGCATTTATTATAGTATATAAATGGAAGGACATTGGGAGCTCTAGATCTTCCTCGGAGTGACTAATTCTTATGTTTTGTTCTGTTGATATCAACCATGGCATTGAGATAGATGAATTTTAAATATATCACAGAGACTATATATATCTACTAAATTTTGAAAATTAACCTCTAATGTTACATTACTAAGATCTTCGGGGGAAAACATAAAGTGAAGAAATTAAGATACCTTTTGCCTTTGTTTTGCAAATGGAATATCCAAGTAAGAGCACCACAGAAACACCTCCAATGCAAGTTACTACTATCACAGCCCTCTCCTTAGGACCAGAATTTCCTTTTTTGTGGGTTATTTGAACATAAAAAAGCCAATAAGTTAATCAAACTTAGTGGAGAAAGTATGAAAATCTAGTTCTAATTAAACTAAAAGCATGACAGATATAAGGACCTACAAGGGAAGGAAAAACCAAAAAAAAAAATTTAGAAAGTGGCCATACCTAGCTCCGAAGCTGGCATTCGAACATACAGAGCCTGTTTAGATGAAGCAACTTTTCTAATATCCATCAGATCACCAAACCACATGATGCAACCACTTCCACCGTCTCTGATGTCAGAGTTTGCATAAGCCATGCAAGAACAATTGCTCAAACATTCTGCCCTGCATTCCTTAAGGTTCATGCTCTTATTCGCGCAAGAATACGATGAATCTGGCAATTTCAAGCCGACAAATTTGACAAAGCCGTCATTGTGTTTATCTTTGCATTCGAGTGGAGTGTTTCTTTCACACCCTTCTGACCAATCCGTCGAATACCATATTTCTACAGACCTAGGCTTGTATCCTTTTAAACATTGGCATGCTGGGTTCCCACCTATGACACAATACCCATTTCCTCCACATAGACCATAGTTGTCACACTGATCTGTAGGCACGAAAAAGTAAATCTTCCAATTCTTCTCTGCTTCGACCCATGTAAGTCGTTGGACCGTTAAAGTTGTTTGATTTAAAACTGCTACTGTGATCAGAGACTTGTTCTTGAGGTTGAAGGTGTAATAAAATTCATCTTCGTCGTAAATGACGTCGAAGTCATAAAGGTAGTTTGGCCTAGACACTGGCATACCACTTGTACCAAGTCCGTTCCAAGGCCCGGCTCGATGATGTTTTTCCTCACCTTTCCACATATATATATCAGGAAAGGTGTGTTGTTGAACATCAATTTCAATACCCCAAGTTAAATCTCCGGGACAAGGGTCATCCCAGTTCCTCCACGCTGAAAATAGCCGATTAAAACCCTTCCTTAAGTCCCGTCCCAACTTCATCCCTGGTAACATTGTATTGCAAGGATAATCAAAGCTTTGCCACAAATAGGCCTCTGAGTTTCCATTTTTCTCTTCTTTGAGTACAAGATTTCCTGAGTCTAGAAGCTCTAGTTTTGCTTTCTGGGCTTGTTTTGATAAGCTCGTCGACCAAACAACGCTCTTGTTCTGATACAAAAGCACAATATTGCCTGTGCTGTTTATCATCAACAAGCCCGAGGAATCATTGATGGGGTTGCACCGGTTTGCGACCCAAACGACGGTCTGAACTGGGATTTTCTTGTACCAAACTCCGACATAACGACCCTTGGAATTTCCGGGACTGAAGAAACCAAACTCAAACACTCCTTCCTTAGAAACCAAGGTTTCTCCATCACTAATGGATTGGAGTGGATTAATGCTGTCCACAGCCAAAGACACTCCATAGAGGAGAAATAGCAAAACAGCAATGTAAAACAGTGAAGAAAACATTGATTTCTGGCTCTAGATTTCTACTCTATGAGCTTTGTTGAGCAAAATCTCAATTTTAATTAAAATTTCTTTACGCAATTGGCAGGTCAACTCTTTGCTTTGAATTAAAAAAATGATAAAATGTCAAAGCAAGTTTTTAGTTTAGAATTTTCTTCAGTGGTGCTTGTCATGTGGTAATTTTTTTATCAAAAAAAAAAAAAAAAAAAACAAAAAACAAAGAAAACTGGTCAAAAAGAAAAAGACAGAAGAAAAGTTTACCGCTTTTTTTTCCAAAACTATAATAAACAATAGATTTTTGAAATTAAATTAAGTAAATAGTAAATTTTAAAATTATTTGAAGTAAATAACAATTTGTCGTGTAAATGTTTCATTTATTATTGGCAAAAAAATAAACTATGTGGTAAAAAAGTCTTTATTTACGTAGAAAAAAATCTTTTTACGTCATAAAAAAAAATTTATGTAGAAAAAAATCTTTTACTAGACGTAAATTAAATATTTACACGGTAAAATTTTATTTACTTCAAATAGTTTTGAAATATGTTGTTTGCTTAATTTAGTTCTAAAAAATATGTTATTTACTACATTCTCCCCATTTAAAAAAAAATAGAGAGTAGAGCTGCAAGTTACCAACTGTAATGTCCGAGAACTCTCGAATTTAATCGAGATTTATAGAAACCAAACTCAAACATTCCTTCTTTAGAAACCAAGGTTTCTCCATCACTGATAAATTGGAGTGGACCAATGCTGTCTACTGTAAAGGCAAAAGTAACGAAGGAAAACAAGAACATAGAAGCAATATTATACATACAGAATGAAGAAACGGCCATTGATTTCTAACATTTTTTTTTTTTCTTTTAGTTTTTGCTTCTCTGCTTGGAGGAAGTGTAATAAAGAACAAGCTTCGTTTATTTTGCAGATGTGCAAGAAAGACCATTGACATGATAAAACAAAGACGTACAACCCTGTTGACGAAAATACAATGCCTTATATTAGAAGATAATAATTGACCTAGTCCAAAACCACATGCTCCAGAACAAAGAAGATAGCCATAATATATATACATTTATATATATATATATATAGATATAAGTAGAATAGACAATTTCTTATATATATTTGAGAGCTGATAACGGCTGAGAAATATGAAACTATTCATAATTCAATTTTTCTAGTCCAATCGGAGAAACTCCATAAAAATTATAATAAAAAGAGTTAAGTGGTATTAATTCGACGTTTAGAAGGTAAATATAGGTCCTGTAAAAAGTAGGAAATTACCCTAAAATTGAGGACACAAAGGTGAAAATATCCTAAATACTAATATTATTATTATTATTATTATCATCCTCATTGTCATCATCATTATTATTGGTTAATGGAAGCTATTGCAACGGAGTAAAAGAAACTCGTTGCGCTTCTGTCAAGAACGTACATATATAGATAAAAAAAAAAAATGCTAGGACATTAATACTAATCTCAATATGCGTACAAATTTTTGAGTTATTATTTTTTATTAGTAAAGGTTTAAAGTACTCACCACATCATTGAAATGAGTAGCTAGGACAATATTGTCCATATGGTTGAATCATAATATTGAAAGGCCAATTATGTATACACTTTAAGGCCCCGTTCATTTCGCTGATTCGAGTTTTGCTACAGTAAAAAGCTCTCACAAACAATCACATCTAACTTTTTTACTACAGTAAAAAAACTCTCACATAAAATCACATCTCAATTCGAATTAAAAACTCAAATCAACGAACTAAACGGGCCCTAAATGTATAACGTACATCCAGATTAAAAGTTTTGTTGATTGAAAATACAAAAGTTATAAATCGTACTGAATATGATGGGTTTTATCAAAGAAATGATCAAATGCTCAACATTTACCCAGAAAAAAAACACACTAAAATTAAACTAATGATATATACCACTCAACGGGAATATATATATTGGTAATTGTGCTGTCACTTTCAAGGGGTTATATAATTATTTTCATCAAGAAATTTATCATTCAACTTCAGAAAGCTTTCTAGGCCAGACCCGCCGCCTCGTGAATGACGATTCAAAATCCTAGCCAAAGATTGCAAAAATTTTCTTCATATAAAAAAACAGGGAAGTCTAATCACTATACACCAAAACAAATATTTTTGTCACAACTTTCTACACACGTGATACGGTACTGGTCTACAAGAGGTGCCTCGCCTCGCCTAATGACTGAAAAAATTTTAAAATTAAATAATGTAATGGTAAATTAAATAATATAAGCGAATTACATATATGAATCCAAACGAAAAATTTAAATACAAAAGAAAATACTAAATCTAACAAACTCCAAAAATCTTAAAATTTTTAGATTCCGGTGGTTATATAGTGACGATGACGAACATGGAGAGAGGGTGACGGTGGTGGTAATGAGCATGGTGATCTAGCCACAGAGACAACAATGGCAAAAATTGTTAGAGTGAGGAATGAGTAACAAAGAGAGAGGGATTTAAAAGAAAAATACTAAGGTTTGATAAGAGAATGAATTAGAGAGAGAATGGGGAAGAGAAGGAGTGAGGAATCGAGAAGGGATTTGAGAGAAAAGTTTAGAGTTTGGAAGTGAGAGTGAGTGAAAAATAGAAGAGTGTGCTCGAAATTAAAAAAGGAAAAGAGAATGTTTGAAATTTACACTCCATTTGGTAAGAGGGAAAAAAAAAAGAGAATGGAAAGAAAACATATAAACAAATGTGAAAGAAATGAATGAAGTTGATTTTTTTTTATGGTGTTTAGTATAATGAGAGGAAAGAAAATTGATAATAGCCTAAATGACTATTTTATCAATTGTTTAATATTAATTTAGTTTTTAAAGTAGGGACAAAAAAGTTATTTTACTTATCAATGAGTGGACTTGAGTTTTCCTTCTAATGTTGGAGAGATAAAAATCAGTGGGTCCCACTTCAATTTTTATCCATCATATTTTTCTTTTCATCTCCTCTTCTTTCTTACCAAACAATTAACTCTACTATTTTCCATATAATAATCACTCTACCACTTCTTTTATTTCTCTTTTCCATCATACCAAACATAATATTAAAGCGGAAATGATAAGTCCGCCTTTTTTTTTTTTTGAAAAGCGATGACATTTAACGACGGTTTCTTAAAAATTGTCGTTAAATGTTATACATTATGCGATAATTTTTCTTAAAACATCATTAAATTGGCGTCGTTTGATGTAGAATTTGTTGTAGTGTTATCATCAACAAGCCCAAGGAATCATTGATGGGGTTGCACCGGTTTATGACCCAAACGATGGTTTGAACTGGGACTATTGTACCAAATTCCAACATAACAACCCTTGGATTTTCCTGGACTGAAGAAACCAAACTCAAATATTCCTTCCTTAGAAACCAAGGTTTCTCCATCACTGATGGATTGGAGAGGACCAATGCCGTCTACTGCAAAGGAAAAAGTGATGAAGGAAAACAAGAACATAGAAGCAATATTATACGTACAGTATGAAGAAACGGCCATTTATTTCTAACCCTTTTTTTTTTTCAGTTTTTGATTCTCTGCTTCGAGAACGTATAATAAAGAACAAGCTTCTTTTAAATTTTGCATAATATAAATATTTAATAATATAAATATTTGATAAATCTTTTCATGTTGACCGAGTTTTTTGAATCAGTCTCACTTAACTACATTTATTATATTAGAAACTTATTAATAACCGACGGAAAAGAAGGGAATCGGTCTCAATTAACCTTTAACTATTCAAATTTATTTTCACAACAAACGAAAAAAGACCACATAATCTTATTTAATCTCCTTTTTTCCGTTTGTTTTTAATAAAAAAAAAAAAATATATATATATATATATAACAAAAAGAGCTAAGTGATACTAATTCAGCGTTTAAAAAGTAAAAAGTGAAAGTTTTTAAAAATGTAGGTCCCTAAGTAAGAAATTACGTTTGGTACGGAGTAATCTTTAAGTGGGAATGAAAATCTTCACATATTACGATGTTTGGTACAAGAGTTGTGATTTTTATATTCCCAAGAATATCAATTCCATGGGATTCATTTTACCTTAAATTTTTATATTTGGTTTGAGATTTTAATATATTCTTAAAATTTTGTTAAGATTTTTTTTTAAAGAACAACTTTCAAATTTATTTCTTAAACTAAGAAGAATTTTTGTGTTTCTTAAGAATAAAATTTTTAGTACTTAAAATATTTTAAATTAGTTATTATTAAGAAAAAATACATTACGTTACTTTGTATCAACCAAACACAATAAAATAATTTTCCTGAGAATATGAGAAAAAATTCACATACATAATCAAACGTAATAATACACATTTCTTAATAATCATATTGCCTTTTATCACTTTTTCAGTAATATAATTCTTGCCCATTACTGTATACCAAATGACCCCTAAAACTCCCCGGGGGGGAAGGTAAAAATAATCCTAAATACTAGTATTACTATTATCATCATCGTAGTCGTCATCATCATCATTATTACTGGTTAACGGAAGCTATTGCAATGGAGTAAAAGAAACACGTTGCACTTCTGTCAAGAACATATAATATATATATATATATATATATAATGAACACTAACTCACTAACTGTAATCCCAACATACGTACCAATTTTTTAAGTTATTATTTTTTATTAGTAGGGTGTTTAAAATATTCACTTCATCGTTAAAATGAGTAGGACAATATTGTCCATATGGTTGAATGACAATGTTGAAAAGTCAATTACGTATACCTTTTAAATATATAACACGTACATCCAGATTAAAAAATTTCGTTGATTCAAAATACAAAAAGTTATAAATCGTGCTTATTATGATGCGGTCTTTGTCAAAGAAATGATCAAATGCTCAACATTTACCCAGCAAACCTAAACCATACTAAAAATAAATTAATGATATATACCACTCAACGGGAATATATATATATATATATTGGTAATTTTGTTGTCACTTTCAAGGGGTTATATAATTATTTTGA